GATATATCCATTGATACTTACATCAGAACGTCTCGAATTTGTGCCTTTTCATTTTTTATCAAATTTCAACCTATTGATACTTTGAGAAATCTGCCAGGATTCTCTTCTGTGTCGATGTAATTGTTGTAAGACATATTTAAGTTCAACCTGATTATACCTGATTCTTTGGTTTATTGTCTTATCGATGGCTGGCATTATGTCCTTATAGACATGATGTGAAATTTCATTCTATGGCTTCATATGGTCGAGTAATAACTAGTCGTCAAGACCAGAGAGGATTTGGACAATTTTATCCTAAATTTATAAAATTATTAATGGTAAAAAATCATTAGTTCTAGCTTATTTAAATCCAGATCAATATTACTTATCATATACCCTAAAAGACTTATATTGTTCATCAGTTATATCCTTGAGCACTTTACGTGATTTTAAATATCTTCCATGTAGTTCTAGAGAGTATTCTTTATATGATTCCAAAGAGTGCTTTCTACGTGATTCTAGAGAATATTCTCAAACTTCTGATCATTACCTTTTTAGATCTTAGACTTCTTCAATCAAGTAATTTAATGTCGATTGAATTGAACTAATCACTATTGTAAAATAATTGTTTAATATATTTGATTAATTTATTATCATTTCTTTTTAAATCTTGTCTAGTACTCTTATTGGAACTTTTTTCGATACTTCTTACATTACTGTTATCTCTTTCGAGAGTTTTTGTTGCCGGAGTTATGTCAATACTATCACTCAAACTTTTACCTGAACTTCTTTCGATACTTCTTACATTTTTGTTATCTCTTTTGAGAGTTTTTACTATCATAGTTATGTCAATACTCTCATTCGGATTCTTACCTGAACTTCTTTTGATACTTCTTACATTTCTGTTATCTCTTTCAAGAGTTTTTGCTGTTATAGTTATGTCAATACTCTCATTCGGATTCTTACCTGAACTTCTTTCGATACTTCTTATGTTACTGTTATCTCTTTCAAGAGTTTTTATTGCCGGAGTTATGTCAATACTATCACTCAAACTTTTACCTAAACTTCTTTTAATACTTCTTACATTTCTGTTACTTCTTTCGGGAGTTTTTGTTGCCAGAGTTATGTCAATACTATCACTCAAATTTTTACTTGAACTTCTTTCGATACTTCTTACATTTCTGTTGCTTCTTTCGGGAGTTTTTGTTGCTGAAGTTATGTCAACACTATCACTCGAACTTTTACTTGAACTTCTTTTGTTTCTATTGCTTCTTTCTCTATTGTTTACAGTTACATCTCTAAAACTTCTGCCATAACGTTCGTAACTTTTATTCTAGATACTTGGACTTCTTTCACATATGTCATTTCTGAGACTTCGACTTTCACTAGTAGTTCTTTCAACCTTTCTTTTGGATGTGCTTCGCCTAGTGCTTCTTTTGTTGCTTTCATGATAAGTTCAATGATCTTTATGCTCACGAGACCTTGAACGTCTTCTAGAAGTTGAAGCGATCCTAAAGGATTTTGATCATGCATAGTATTAAAAAGGTAAAGTATTGATAAAAAAGAATAAGTAAATTAGAATTAAAATCTAGAAATGAAAGAAAAAAAAAATAATTAGAATTAAAATCAATCAGGTAAAAGTCATTCTTTTATATCAAAAAAAATTAGTCTTACGCGATCTTTTACCTTTCTTTAATTTGTAAGCTTAATCATGATCTAATATTTCTGCGCAAAATTGAAATAATTACTGTGCTCAATATTAAAATTAGTTGTGATTAATGACATTGATTGATTTTATCTTTAATGGTCAGTATTTTAAGTATTATATATTTAAGTTGAACCAGGTCCAACATTTTAAGTATCAGTTATAATTAAGTTGTTAATATTTTTTTTGCTTTATAATTGCCATTGTTTCTTCTTCAAAATTGTATGTAAAAATAAATTTTCAAAGTTGTAAATAAGTCTATTGTGAAAAGAAACAATAAACGTATAGAGAGAAATTTAAATTTTATAGGCCTATATAGATCCTTTATATATACTTTCTATACTTATATAATATCATTAATAATTATTATTGTATCGTTTATTGTATCAGTTAATAATTAGTATTGCTTAAATTACATAATGTTGAGTAGTTAGCTGTAAAATAATTAGCCACATGTGGAATTCCATAAGATATTAGCAGTTAAACTGGATTCAGGTGATCGACAATCAGGGATGCAGCTATTTTGAACAATCACTAAATGTTAAACTTTATTATATTGATTTTAAGGTTTTATGAGGGATTTTTTCGAACAATACATATCATTATACTTTTAACGTTAAACTTTATTACATTGATTTTATACTTTAATATATAACATATCTGGATATTTTTAAAAAATTTCTTATTAAATCTTTCTTTTTCAACACGATATCTTTATTATGACGCGCAAATCAAAAAAAATCTTTTATAAAAGCAAATAAAACTGCATCCGCATACTAAGAAGGTTTTTCAAAACATCATAAATATACTAAAATAGGAAGTATAAGTAATACAAGAAAACATGTGCCATGCTATTGTAATATATGTAAAGGTTATAAAGTTGATCCACGTACAAGAAAATTACATACGAAAGAAAAGGAATTTGGATCAAGAGGATTTGTTGAATCTTCCAGGATAGCATCACCTTCTGAAATGACAGAAGATATTTTAGGCGATCATATGAATACAGACGTAGATATTGTAAATGATGATCTTATCAGCCAAGAATTTAATTTTCTTGTTACAGGCCCAAAATCATCCAATGATCCTGCTAGTGACCAAGAATTTAATTTTTTTATTACGAGCTCAAAATCATCTAAAGGAAAGCAAAAACAATTAAGTGGTCATATTAGTTTCCCAACGGCCGTAATTGAACAGCTTCTTGATGATGATCATAATGTTAACGAATCTGATATTGACAAATATGATATTGACGAGGGTAGTGAAGAAGAAGAATATAGTGATGATGATGAAAATAACGTCGAACCAGTCAATTTTGATGCACCAGAATCCGGTTATGAAGATAAAGGTGCAGAAATACCATTTACAAACATCGATCAGGGATTCGTGTGAATCGTGTATTGGATTTTTAAATATCAAGAGAGATATCGGCTATCTGATACTGCTACTAATTCTCTTATAAAGTTTATGAGATATCTATTACTCTTGGTTGATAGAAATATCTATTCAGAATTTCCAAAATCTTTACATATGGCACAGAAATTATTTGGTATCAGCGATCACATGATCAAGTACATAACTTGTAAAAAATGCTGTAAAATATACGCGGTAAAAGATTTGACAACCAATAAACCATACTATTGTACATTCAAGGACTTCCCAAATCATCTGATGACTAAGTTGAGATCTCCATGTAATAATATTATTACAAAGCAAGTTCTTACACAAAAAACAATAATATACCAGCCTTTACTCATTTTTCCTGTTACTAATATAAAAAATCAGTTACATCAATTATACAAATCGAAAGAATTCAAAAAATCCTGTAAAATGTGAACAACTAGACCTAATATTTGCCAGGAGTTATCAGATATATACGATGGAAGAATTTGGAAAACTTTTAAAGATTCAAATAATAATTAATTGTTTTTTCGGCATGAAGTAACGGATAGTCATATAGGAATTATGTTGAACCTTGATTAGTTCCAACTGTACGACAATTTCCAATACAGTGTAGGAGTGATGTATAGAGTAATATGTGATCTACCACGAAGCCAAAGGTTTAAACCAAGTAATATTATTACTTTAGCAATAATTTCCAGCCCAAATGAACCGAAATTGCATCAATTAAATCATTATTTGGCTCCTGTAATTGATCAATTCATTAAGTTATGGGAAGGAATAGAACTTTGCACATATGAAAACCTACTGGAAAATTTATACGAGCAGTGATTATATGTTACACATGTGATATACTGGCTACCAGAAAGCTTTGCAGGCATATATCGGCTCATGTTGCATATCATCGGTATAAAAAGGTGGCCGATTTTGATATTAGAAATCAACCAAACTTTAATAGCTTTGACGATATAGATCAATGGTTTGTGCCAAGAGATATTGAAGAAATAAAAAACAATGCTTTTTATGGAAGGATTGCAATATTGAAGATGCACGAAAAAAGCATGTTTCTCAAACTTTAGTACGTTGGTCAGAAGTATATCAGCTCCCATATTTTGACCCAGTGCAATTCCTTGTAATCGATCCTATGCACTGTTTGTTTCTGGGTATTGCCAAATGGATAGTAACTCGTTTGTGGATTGAAAAAGGTCGATTAATGTTAAAAAATCTAGAAACAATGCAAGAACAGGCCAACAAGTTAAAATTACCATCAGATATTGGAAGGATACTGAATAAAATAGCAATAGGTGAAGGCTTTTCAGGGTTTACCGCAGACCAATTGAGAACTTTCATCCTTGTATATGCTACTACGATTACTTAGGATTTTTTTCAAAAAGATGACAGGGAAATATTGAGTTATTTTGTAAAAGTATGCAATATCCTTATATGCTGAATTATTTCTAAATCAGCATTAAATGAGGCATATAACTGTCTTTTATTGATGGTAAAGATTGTTGAAAAGAGTTATGGCCTAGAAAAAATAACTCCAAATTTACATTTATGTTTATATATTTGTGAATATGCGCTCGATTATGGGCCATTATATTCATTCTGATGCTATAGTTTCGAACGAATGAATGGTCTATTAAGTAATAAATTTCCAATTAAAATGTTTCAATATTTTATAATTTTTTGATATTTAATTATATTTTTTTTACAGGCTCTTTTTATAATAGTAACCAACATATTGAGCTGGAATTACTCAAGATTATTCAAAATCATTCACGTCTTGATGAGTTATCATTATTTGTCAATGAAAATCAACACCTTTTAGAATGTTTGCCTTATATTGCTCTTAAGGAAACAGTTGGTAGCCTCACAGCTAATGAAGATTTTAATTTGATGAAATATTCGAAATTTTTAACAATGTCAAAAAATGTAAAGGAGAAAGCAGGAACAGAGTCAGAGCCTTTTTCAGATGCACTTCTTAAACCAATGAAGAGTGTGAAATTGTCATCAGAAATATTAGCATTATTGGTAGAATATTACAATAATG